TATATAAAATATTACGGCATACTTTTTTTGGATACTCGACACTTGACATCAATAAGAGAAACTTCAATTTGTCACATAAATTTATTATTTAAAACCTTTAGACGATATATACATATATTTAGATTATAGAAATATATATATATTTGATATATATATTTAGACGATTTATAATTCACGTCATATATCACAGGATAGAATCTTATTTATAAGTTGTATAATAGCTACAAAATTTGACAGATTTAGCAACACTACACGGAGAGAATTTTCTTTTAAAATTTACCCTATGGTAATTATGGTAGAATACAATATTTTAAAGATTTTTACTATGCATTTCAGTAAAATAATCATCAATTATTTTATACTTTATTGTAATTTTATTGATGAATAAGAGAGATTTACATTAAAAATTCTTCGAAATACAATGTTGTCCTACGACTGTCACATTTTCAGAGTAAATTCTAAGAAAAAATTCTTTTCGTGTATAAATGAATATATAACGTTACATCATTTTTCAGAATAAACAATAAATCGCGTAGTGACGCCCCAATTTATAATTATGTGTCTACGGACAATCCGATAACTTATGATGATCTAAAAGACATGTCATCAAAACATGGTCTCGAAATTCCCTCGACTAGGGCGGTTTGGTACTACAGTTTCAGAAATAATAAGCACAGGATAATCCATCTTTTTTTCGTATATTTTCTGCACCTACTTCCAGCTTTACTGGTTGATACCGCAACTATCTGCATAGGAAGACAACCGAGGTAAGGATAAAAAAAATTATATAAAAGTTAGAGAGAGAGAGAGAGAGAGAGAGAGAGAGAGAGAGAGAATAATAATGAATTTTTCATTTTACGTATCCAAAATAAGAAAAAAGCCATAAATTAAAATAGCATTAATGTTAAAGAACAAAAGAAGATTAACCCAAAAAACATTATTTAAGATTTAAAAACATTATTTAATATTTAAGTTTTAAAATAAGAATTATGAATCCAATGTTTCGCGTTTCACAGTTGGTAGCCCTTGAATTCTATCAATGACGCGGAATAGAAGTAGACGTGGTTTGGCCGAATTGCCTATACAATAGGTCTGTTTTTTATTGCTGCATTTTCTGAACTGGTACACACAGTGCAATAAGTTGAAGTGTAAATTTAAGTTAATAAATTGTTTACGTTTGTTTCACTTCAGCTTATTGCACCAATTCAGAATAAGTACAGTAAAAAACAAACCTCATGTAATCCTTTCATCAAGTTACCATCAGCGGCTTTCCCTCTCCACTCTCACTGCTTCGCTCGGTTTCTATCTCTTTTACCACTACGTCGTCATTTCGGTAAAACTTCAAACATGATTTTTCAACTTTCCTTGCCGATAAAAAAAAATGGAATTTGATATTGGACGATAAATTTCATCATACTCTAAATGAATTCATGGGTTTCAGAGGTTACATCTCTAAGGCAGAAACCTCCCCCCCTTCCCTCCCCTCGTGGGCATTCTTCTTTCATTTATTAATATAAAAAATTCTATAAAATATTTTTTCTTAGAATAGCTTTTAAATAATGTACGATCAAACAATTTAGAACAATTTTTAGCGATTGAAAATGATCATAAAAGAGCGAGTTGTTTTTTACTTTTTTGTTTTTATGATTTCATATTTATGCGTAGAGCTATATATAGAAATAATTTTGCGATAATAACTAACGCTTAGTCGTTATATTTATTAGAAAAGTAATACTAAGTACTTTACTTATTACAAAACAGTTCAAGTTTAAAAAAGTGCATAAAAAGAAAATAATTATAACATGCGGGGATTATGCGCCTGAGACTTTTGCCTGAGACATAATTGATATCAATGATCATCAACGTTATTTACTATTCTCACTTAATTCTCACTTAATGGCAGAATAATCATGACCCACGCATGTAAGATTTGCGTATTGATAGTCCAATAATTTTCAATAAGAACACAACTATAGAATGCTGCGGCATTCTTATAAGCGAACAAATTTTATGAAGGAATTAAATAAATTTTTTATGTGAATGCGTTTTCATATCAGATTTAATTTTACATGATAATTATTTGATGTCAGATCGAAATGTTTTATTTATAAATTATATGGAATTGTTATGTGGCTCGTAGCTCCTTCATCTTTTATCTGATTTTTAATCATTTGAGCCATTTCTCTCTCTCTCTCTCTCTCTCTCTCTCTCTCTCTCTCTTCATATATTTTTAATTATTAAAATTTCTTTCATATGGAGCTATTTTACCAAAATAGTATATAGAATATTAAAGATATTTTTCCTGTTATTAATCCCTCAAAGTTTGAATAATTTGATTAAAGAATAATCATGAATTAGTTTTCAAACATCTAAAATAGAAGCTGATATTCGTTGCATCAAGTAGACCGTAAATTAAAATCATTATTAGTAATGAATTAAAATATGTAAGAAATTATATTGCTATTTTTGCGCCCCTTCAAAATTTTTACGTAAGGCAATTGCCTCGCTCGTCATACTTTTATCCCGGCGCTATTTATGCAGATCACTATTTAACACAGACTGTATATTAAAGGTTACTTAAGGTTTATAAGAAGATACACAAATTTATGGATGTGCTGAACTATTTTGCCACGCAAGAATGGAAATTTACCAATGATCGATTACACGCATTGATAGGGAAGCTCACATTCAAAGACCGTGAAAAATTCTATTGCGATATACGAGATGTCGATTGGAATGTTTATTTTGAAACTTATATTCTCGGAATAAGGGTGTATCTCATTAAGGATCCCATAGATACCTTGCCGCAGGCACTCGTCAAATGGCAAAGGTACGAATTTTCAATAATTTTTGGAAAATATCCTTTACAGTTCACTTTTCTAATCCTATATATGTTTTCATAACAAACTGAAAATTTTCATTTAACTTCTTGTCTCCTTTTCTTTACTTTATTTTATCATATCTTATATTTCAAATTTCTTTTAGTTTATTAAAAAAAAATAGAGGCAAATGAGCATATTTTCTAAACTGTATATGTTTTTACACTCTAATATGTTTTTATTCTTTGTTTTTTAATCTTTTTATAAAATATACTTAAAATTGAAAATGTTATATTTTAAAACTCTGAATTAAAACATTACATTAGAACTATATGTATATCTAATTTCATTATTTACTTACAAAAACAGATAAGAAACAACTCTTATTATAGATTATATTGGAGTCATCAAGTACTGAAACTCATACTGGCTTACATCGCCATGAGGCTCTTCTGGACGGCTATAACTATGCTCTTTGATTTTTTTTATCCAAAAGTGTGACAGAAATGGTAGAAATAAGACCGCAAAAATCCAAGACATACATCTTGGAGATGCAGGATCGAATGGTGGAGGGTGATATCTTGTGTTTTTAAGGAAAAGGCGTGACTGGACTCTCAGAGAAGCGTGAAACTTTCGTCAGAAAGGTATGGAAGAACTAGCAGAGAGGCAGGCGTAAGCCTATATACAAAACAGACTAAATATTGCGAAACGAAAATGTAATGTATGAGTGATATGTGATAGGGAGAGAACAACAGCAATTTGATCGTATTCTCCAATGATCTTCAATGATCTTCACACAGATAAAAATAAAACGTTATCTTATGTTCAAAGGCTTGGTAGATATTATCTGAGAGAAGAGTTTAATTTTCGATACTAATGACAACTATATCGTCTAACATTGAATGCCCATTATACTAATGACGGTTATAATGTTGAACGCTCGCCGCGTTGCATTAATAACGACTTTTAGCTTAACAATTTTTTATTACTTTTTTGTTATTACTATGGCTAAGGTCCATTTGATGTTTCAAAGCATTCGTAGCGCCAAGTGGCACCTTATAAAACATGTTAAAGTATTATTCTTTTCCATATTCAATACTTTACATTACACAAAATTTAATTGTTATGTTCCTTCTTCGAAGTGACGTTCGTATCATAGTTGTCCCATACAATGATAGTGTACTCGAGATTCGACTGTCCGTGCAGCGGAGACATATCTAGTGACGAAAAATAAAGCTGTATCGAAAAGGTTAACTTAGCCGGCGCGCAGTGCTTGTTTCACAAGATGCATTATATTTAATTTTCAATATTATAAGACGCGACGATATAGAATATTATATCGCTTATTTGTTACAATAACGACATAATTCAAAAATCAAAGTTTTCTAAAAAATAAGTTTTAATATTTTGAATCATTAAAATGTTATATTAATTTTAAAATACAATTTTGATAAACAATTAATTCAGGACAAACGAAAGTAAATGCAGTAATTGAAGCGTGATATTCTTACAATTTTAATTTTTCTTCTTATACATAAGATTCAGAGATTCTATTCGTAGATTCATACGTTTCGACTCGGTTTAGAATCATTTTCAGCGAAATTTAGTCGAACATAATATGTACGAATATATAATAAAGAGATTGAATGTTAAATAAAAAACAATATATGTCAGTGACAATTATATAAACAAAGAACGAAAAACTAAAAAAAACATAAATATTCCGCAAACATACTAAGCTTCTAAGAATAAACATAATCATTTTCGTATATTATTTAAAATTAAAAGATATGTATGATATAAATAATCTGTATCTATTTGTATATTAAGACTTAGTTTGAATCTGAATATGGAGCATATCTCAGATATTAATGTTCTTCCTAAAAAAACGTTCTAATATCTTAAAATTTTCCCAGTCAAATTCATATTTTAATGATAATCTGTAATTATACTGATTTAGTATCTGTGGTGCTATTAATATGGCGACGATGTTCTTGGATTCTTGTTTTTAGTAGTTTGTCTGTTTGCCCTACATAAAAATGCATTGTAATCTTTGCACTCTATTTTATATACTATATATTTTTTATTATATTCTTTAGGGAGAATGTCTCTGTGTGTTTTGATAAAATAACTGAGTTTATTTAAATTATAAAAAGTTCCATGTTAAAATTTTTTTGTAACATCCTTAAATTTATATTAGAAATTGAAGGGATGTAGGGCAATAAAAACCATAATGGAGGGATTTCTTTTTTATGTAAATCCATGGATAATTGTGCCTTTGTCTTTTTATTAAAGAGTTTTTAATTTTAAATTTATAGTTTGAAAAATAAATTTAAATGGATAGTTATTTTCAAGTAAAGTGTTTACAATGAATCCAAAATTCTTCATCTATCATGATATTTAAAATGCGATATAAAAAAAACCTTTGTCTATCATTCTCATGATAATACCTTTTTTGTGATAATGGATTTGCAAATAAAAAATTTTGATAATAATTGATATATGTATAAGAAGAATAAAGAAATGGTCTTTTAAAACATATTTTTTCTTTTTTTCTTCATGTTTTCGTTCTTTTTTTTTCAAGAATTTTTTCAAAGATAACATTTTTTAACAAAATTTCATAAGATCGCAATGTGAGTACACAATAAATAATGAAAAAGCTGTAAATAATTTATTGTGAAAAGTATATAATTTTTTACTTATATTGTTAGTGTAATAAATAAGCGATATATAGAACGCGTTAAGTTCAACAAATTACAACAATATATATAAATAAACAATTTAGCATAATATATAAGTATGATTCTAGAGAGTTCTGTTTGAGGATGCATATTTTGAATCATAAATAATGATCCATGAGTATAGTATGTTATTCTGATCGAATTAAGTTAACATCTATGTCTTATAATATATATTGATAATGTATTAAATAAAATTATCATAGGCGATAGCGTTGTAGCAATTGAATAATATTTGAAAGTGATAGCGTACAAAACAAAAATTCATATCTGAAAAAACTTTGCTCATGTATCCTTTCACCTTTTGATGAATTAATGAAAATTATATTAATAAAAATATTTTAAAATATTTTAATATCCCAAAAGCATTAAAAATTTGAAGATATAAATATTTTAACGTTTAAATCTTATAAGCAAAATGGACGAGAAATAAATCTTTTACTTATCTAAGACCCGATTACGCCAACATTATTTTAACTGCGAAGTTTAAAACTCTCTTTTTTTAAAAGCGAGAAAAAAATAGAAAGGGAGAATTTTAAGCCTTGCTTAAAGTTAAAATAATGTTGGTGCAACCGGACCTAAGCTAAGTAAAGTTTAATTTTGCCGTACGTTTAATTCTCATTAATTTTACATCAGTTTTTATTTTGACAAAATATTAATGTACAAACAACTGTTTTTCGCGACGGCTAGAAGAATTATTGTCATAGAAGAAAAAATTAATTAAAATCAAGGTTCAAACTTCTTATGATTTTACACAGTTTGATTAAACTCATGAGCATGCCACCTGTTGTCACTTATACTTATTTTATGAATCAGCATTTTCGGTGTATGCATGATCGTTTCAACAAATATAAAGTAAGAGATAACAAATATGCATGACTGTTTCGCGAGAAAATAAAAAGAGAAATATACTTATGCTTAATAGTTTATATTTGATAATACAATCCAACAAAAGAAAATTAGTCATTTCCCGTAGTTTTTTAAACGCTAAAATCAAATTCGATTGTAGAATTACTATATGATACAATTTTGAGAAATTTATAATTAAAGTTGCAAAAAGGACTATTTTCATATATTTCCTAATTTACAGCATACTTTTCCACAAAAGATCCCATGTTTAACAATAAATAACTTGTTAACTATAACGGACATAAAAAATTCCTTTTGAAGATTGAAAATCATCATAACATACTATAAATTTTGATTGCAAGAACACTTCTCCAGCACGTAGCATTTTGTAGTTATAATATGACAAAATTTGTGAAAATAGTCCTTTTTTGTAAAATTAATTCTTTTTTAATTGCAATTTCTCAAAATTGACGTGATAGAACATTCTACAACCAGATTCAAATTCAACATTCAAAAATACTATGGGAAATAACTAGAAGGGTTTTGGCATTCAAAAAAGTTTTTTTTTGTTGAATTGTATAATCGTACTTTGTTTTTTTAGATATGCACATGATCTACGACCGAACCAAAGCCTCTCAATGAGAGAAATATTTTGTTGAAAATTGCGGCAAACGTATGTATGTATATACATGCATGCGCGACTATGCTTGTGCATGCATACGGCATGCGCGGGTATATATGTATAGCGATGCATAGTGAATAAATGTCGAGATGCGACGGCTATTTAGATATTAATCCGTTACAAACGAATGCAAGTTTTTAATTCAGATGTTAATCAGAAAGTTTTAGGGCCCATATTTTGTAATCCTTAATAATATACATATATTAAATTATTGTCGCAAAACTTTTCTTATTCAAGAGGAGCCAAGATACACGCATACATACATATAAGGTGTTTCTTGAGATGGGTTAAAGCCACATTGGAGACGGAGAATGGATCAAAGGGAATAAAAAATTCTTATACTATTTTGAGAACGAGTGTGGACCATCTTATGAATTCGCGCGGCGCGGCTTAACCGCATATTGGCTTAGACGTTTTTTTTTCTAATTCGAAAACTATAGCGAGTATCTCAAA